TTAATTCTCACCCAACGATATGTTTATTGGTTTTTAGAGAGAGAAAGAGACAAGAGAAACATTGATGTGAGAAACTTTGATTGGCTGCCTACCATACGCACCCCATCAGGGATCGAACACAGAACCTAGGTATGTGCCCCCACCAGGAATCGAACCCACAACTTTCGGGTCACAGGACCATGCTCCAACCACCCGAGACACCCAGCCAGCTCTAAACAAATATTTTTAATAGCATACATCTCCTCTTGCTTACAGTCCCCCCACATAAATAGAGGGGAAAGATGCCAACACTAAACAATCATATTATCTAAATGCATAATTCATACATAAGGTCCCTAAAATAACAAACTGTATTTTATACAGTTGCATAATAGGACTATTATGAGTCCCTACTTAATGTTTTATATTTGTTATACATCCCAAAGAGGTATCACGTTTACTTCAATTTCTCTTAAAGTTAATAATATAGGCCCAAAATCATCCTCTCCCACTCTGTCGCTCTTACTAATTCCCTGAAGGTAAACACTGAATCTGACAAAGGGCAGTCTTCTAGGGACCCACCTCCAGTTCCATTCTGCCAATACTGATACTCTTCCCAAAGTCAAAGAAAAGCAATCCATTTTCTACTTTAAAACTGTCAAGCTAGAAACAAAAGTTTTATTTTCTAAACTAATGGAGCTACAACATGCTTAGGAGTCACCCTAAAAGAGCCAGCTCATCCTCTGCTGTGGAACACTGTGATCCCAGGGTTCCCACGTATTCTGCACATCTGCGGTCCTTGATTAAAATGTTCTCCAGCCGTGGCAGATGTGGCTCAGGTGGCTGGAGCAACATGGCTCAGTTGGCTGGAGTGTTGTGTAGACCAAAAGGTTACATGTTCGATTCCCAGTCAGGGCGCACACCCAGGTTGCTGGTTTGATCCCCCTCAGTCACGGTGCATATGAAAAGGTGGCCATGGATGTTCCATGTTTGTTTCTCTCTCCCCCGCCACCACTTCCCCTTTCCCTAGAAGCAATTAAGAAATGTCCTCGGATAGGATTTCAGAAAAAAAAAAGGTTCTCTGAATACATGAGTGTACACATTTGTCGAAATTATATATATTATTCCTCATTAAAATTTTAAAAATTAAAAGATGTGCCCTGGCTGGTGTGGCTCAGTGGATTGAGTGCCAGCCTGCAAACCAAAAGGTAACCAGTTTGATTGCCAGTCAGGGCACATGCCTGGGTTGCATGACATGTCCCCAGTAGGGGGTGCACAAACAAGCAACCACACTTTGATGTTTCTCTCTTCCTCTCTTCCCCTCGCTCTACAAATATGTAAATAAAATCTTTTTTTAAATTAGAAGATCCAAGTTCTTAGCCCCCCTGTAAATCTGAGGGGTTATTTTTTAACTTCTGAGTGATTCCACGTGAGACCACTACTCTTGATTACATCACATGTGCCTTCCACCATTACAAAATGGGGAAAGACAAGAACACTGGGTCTGAATTCAGACACCTAGACCAAAATACAGCTCTATTACTAATTCACTATATGCCCTTGGACAAAGAGACAATTCCACTGAGCCTGCTTCCTTAGCTGGAAACTACGAATAATAAATACCTACCTCACAGGATAATTGTGAGACTTAAGTGAGACATTTATAAAATATTTGGTAGAGCGTCTAACACCAAGTTCTATGTTACCATCATTAGCATCTTTATTTCCATCATTTTAAACCAATCTTTATTCGGTATTTTCTCTCAGTCCTGAAACATATATTCCACCTAATCTAAAACTTTTAAAGAACATCTTAGACACACACATGCCTCTTCACCCCTGATGACTATAATGTGTTAAGCCTGGGATGAGGGCAGTTTTGGGACCCACTCTGCTCCTGGGAACTTGTGTGGCAGAACCTGACTATAACCAGAGCCCAAATTCCTATGGAAAACTGAATAGTTCCTTCTAATTTCAAATGACAACCAGCCTCCTACCTTTAGACAAGTAAGGTAGTGACATCCAAACAAGGTTTGCTAGTATCAAAAGAAAGGTGGTGCTACCCCATACCCAACTCTCCCAACAAGAGATTTAGTCTTCATTGGATTTCCTCAAGATTAGACCAAAGTTAAGTTTGCCTCTTTAAAAGGGGGGGGTGAGGTGTTTTGGGGGCACTGAACCCCCCCCAATACCCCACACACACAAGTCCATGTAACCTGCCTTGGCTCGTGTTGCTCAGCGGGTTGAGCGTCAGCCTCCAAACTGAAAGGCTACCATTGGCATTCCCAGTCAGGGCACATGTCTGATTAATGGGCCAGGTCCCAGATGGCAGCATGCAAGAGGAAACCTGATCGACTCTTGCATTGATTTGTTCTTCCTTTCCTTTCTCCCTCCATTCCCCTCTCTCTAAAAAATAAGTAAAATCTTTTTAAAAATTTTTTAATTCATGTAACCTGACTCCTCAAAATCTTCATTTTCTCACAGTATCTAAAAAGAACTCAAAGACCACCACCCTCCCACCCACAGATACCAAGATATAAAGATGCTCAAGTCCCCTATATAAAATGGCACAGACCAATGCGTAACAGTAGGCCCTCTGTAGCTACAGATGGAAAACAATACAGGTTTATTTGGGGGCGGGGGGGGGTAGAAATCCTCATATAATTGGACCCATGCAGTCCAAACCTGTGTTGTTCCATAGTAAACTGTATGTATATTCTTGGAGGGTTCAGCAGTCTAACACAGTTTCTCCCTCTAACAAGTATACCTGGCACAGTACAGAAAACAAGTGGGGGGAAGAACAATACCTTTTTTCTTTAGCAGGTCTATACCTGAGAGACACCAAATGGTAGAAAACAAAACAAAAAAATAAATCCTACAACTTGAAAATTTGTCTTAGTTCCTAAAAGAAGTTTCAAAACCACCTTATATAACTTCTCCACCCGTATGGTCTAAACCAGTGTTTTTGAGTGGCCTCTGAGTCACTGTATTTGAATGATATGAGAAGCTTCTTAAAACCATTTCCAGACTTTGATTCAAACAAGAGAACTGAACCCAAGGAAGCTGCATTTCTAACTCCCCAGGTCATTTTTATGCTCAAAATTTGCAAGTAGCTAGAAATTTTCACCTCAGGTAAGAAAACCTTGAATGCAAAAGATCATGACTATGCTTGCTCTCAAAGCAATAAAAAATTAGCTACTAGTATATGAACAATCTGTAGAACACAGTGGTTAACAGCAGACATCATGAAGCTACAATTCCTGAGTTTACAGTTCTAACTAGCCATTTGACACTGGGCAAATGAGCCCCAATTTTCTGGTCTGTAAAATGGAACACTACTACCTACTTCAGAGTTGTGAGGGCTAATGAGTTATTAAAACTCTCAGAAGAGTGACTGAAAAACATTTAATTAAAAAAAGTTTTTAGAGTGCGCGACCCATCCAACACTCAAAATACAAATATTTATTTCAAATCCTCGTGGTCAATGGCCACAAACAGCTGGCTATCTAACTGTGAATCCTATCTCCTCAATCTCTGTAATTTGCTTCTGTATCCAATGATACAGTACAAAACCATGAAGGAACTAATGTTTTTTGTACTGCTTAAAAATCAGGTGTGCCCTGACCCATGAGTTGGCTGGGCATTGTCCTGCAAAGTAAAAGGTCGCCAGTTCAATTCCCAGTCAGGGAACATGCCTGGGTTGCAAGTTCAGTTCCCAGTCAAGGTGTGTATGAGAGACAACTGACTGACTGATGTTTTTCTCCCTCTCTATCTTCTTCCCTTCCCCTCTAAAGAACAAAAAAATAAAATTCATTTTTATAAAATAAAGTGCTGCTCACAACATAAACCACGTAAATGGCTCTAAAAATGGTAGGTTGAGAGCAGATGTCTTCCAAATAAATCTCTTTCGAGAGGCTAGGAAAAAACAAAAGAACTGAAAACTCTCCAAACTTTTCATAGCAAATTAGGGCTGCATTTAATCATCCAAATCATAAAAGTTAAAAGTAAAGCAAACGGGTGCTTGGACCAAGGCACAAGACAAGACCATCCAATAAACACCTCTCACACCCATCCTGCCACTTTCTCTCCCTCATAATCTGCATTTAAAACAAGTTAATTTTCTTAAGTAGGAATCTGGCTATAACATCGAAAAAAAAAATCTAACCATATGTAAAAATACCACTATATTGTAAGGCTCATCTTAGAGTATCAGGACAGTGTATACTTTCGACAGCACCGATGGTGTAGAAAGACTGCCTGAATTAAAGACCTATAATGGGGAAAAAATATTTGGACAAGATCTGAAAGCAGGAAAAAAAAAAGACTAATAATAAAAAGAAGAAAACGATTCTATGATTAGAGCTTGTGCAAATCCTAAGGCGAGATTCAAGAAGATGTCGTTTTCCCCGAAAACAAAAAGCCTTAATGCCCAAAACGCTCCAGTCCTGAATCCTGTCAGCAAAGATAACGGGGAAATACCTGGGTAAGAGAGGACCCGAATTCTCACGAGAACGGCCAAAGCTTAATGCACAAAATACGGAATCTAGTTTTAGGTTTGCAGCAACTCAGGGGTCAGTTAACCATTGTCCAGTAAGCTAGAAATTTCCAAACAAAAAAAGACTTAACGTCCTGGAGAGCAGCTCTTTAAAAACCCACACAAGACAGACTGGGGATTCGAAGGACTTGGGGGGAGGGGAGGCGGTGAAAATGAGTCAAAAGAAGCCTTCTCCAGGATAAAAATCATGTGACTCCCGGGCATAGACAGAATACCCAAGGAGCGAGAACGGAGGAAGGGTCCTGGGGAAGAGAAGAAACCACGGAGCGCGGACTACTGTGCGCAAGGGCCGGACCCCGAAGTCACAGCGTTTGTGGGACCCCAGGCCTCCAACCCCCTCTGTGCCCACGCACCAACCTGGGACCACCGTGCGGGGGCACTGTCCCCTCGCGGGCGCGCGGGAAAAACGGCGGCCGGGCCGGAAGGGGGCAGGGCGAACCGCGAGGGCGCCCCGCCGGGCACTTACGCGGCCGCTTCTTCCTGAGTGTTTCCACGCGCTGGCGGGAGACCGAGGTAGCGCCGCTGTAGGAGCCAGGTCGGTCCCGCCTTACTTCCTCAGTCAAGGCCGAGGCTCCGACCCCGGGGGCCGACACGCTGTTCGCCCGCCGCCGCGGCGGCTCCTGCCGCCGCCCATCTGCCTCATCGGGCGCCGGCTCCCGGGTCGACGAAGCGGAGGTGGCGGCGGCCCAGCCGTGGCGCTCCATGGGCACACGGAGCCGGTCCGCTCCCATCCACAGCAGCTACTGCTGCCTCCGGAACCAGCCCCCAGCACCGGACTTCTCGTTGCCTCCTCCGCGTCAGTCCAGCCGGAGCAGAGGCGAACCCTCGGCTGTCCGCCTCTTCCGTTGCGCCAAGGTGCAGCAAGCCAATCCCAGAAGGCTATGGGAGGCCCGAAGGCCTCGTATCCAATAGACTCCTTGACTCGAGGCAGATTGACTTCACTTCTGTCCAATGGGAGACTCTTAGGACGGCGGCGGAGCTGAGGGTGGAGGGGGAGGGGATCCGGGACCCGCGGAGGAGGAAAAGGCGGTGTGGCTGATGGGGGAAGTGATGGCGGCGCCGCCCAATGGACGCGGGGATGGAGGGGCTTGTGCCCCTCCGTCTTTAGTATCCTCCTGCTCAAGTGGACTGGTTGGCGCCCCGGGGCCCCAGAACTCTCCCGGGATGCCGCCGCGCGCCCCCTGAAACCCACCACGCTGCTCCGTTCCATCCTCTCCCAGTCCCCTCTTCCAGTCCAGCAGCGCCCCCGCAGCTTCTGTTGGCCGACCGAAGGGCTGGAACTGCGGCTGACTTTAGCCTTTGTCCCTCGGCCTGGTTCCTCCGCTGCGGTCTAGGACGCCAGCCCTTCCGCTGCTATTTTTTACTACCACCCTCTCCCCCAGCACCACCACTGGCGTGTTTGGGTTAATCCCCCTCCATTCCGCCTGCGTTGGAGAAATGTTCCTGGTACCAGAAGGAATGAAAGGACTGGGTAGGTCTCCATGACAACTGGATGAAAAAGGTGGGTTATAAATCTTTCGCCACCCTCCTGTGGTGAAGGAGAGAGTGGGAGCCGGGAAGTAGGGTTGGCTTTTTGAAGGAATCTGACCCCTCTTTCTATGTGGTGCACTAGGGGACATAAAAGGATTTGGTGGCCGCCTGGAAGCATAGTTGGGAGGGGGCTTTTTTTTTTAACATCTTATTCCCTTCTCTTTTGGGGCGAGAACATCGTCACCTCCAGCCCTGATATCCCAACCTCGCACATCTACCAAAGGGCCTTCCAAGCACCCTTTCTCCCAGAGGTTTACCCAAGCCTGTTAGATCTCGCCCCTCTCTACTTTCATGGCAGTCCCTCACTCCGTCGAGTTTAACAAGATTGTGGGTTTACCTGGCTTGCTAATTATTTCATGAGACTGGTAGACTGTAATGGCCCTTGGGTGATGTCCTTTAGTTTCTGCATCTTTCCGGTAATGACTACCAGTAGCAGGTAGAACAAGAAAGATGAGCTTAGAGGTGATTGGAGGTGGCAGAGTGTATGGGGGGATAAATGGTAATGGAAAAAATAAAATTTTTAAAAATGGAAAAGAAAACATGAAATGTAAACAGGGAAGTTTTCTTCTGAAGACCAAAATAAATAAACTACAACTAAAAAAATACGAGCTGCTTTCTTGCTTGTTGAATAGAATTACCATGTTCACTGCAAACTTGCTCCTCTCACTGTAGGAATAACTCTGGAACCCCAATTTTCTGCTCTGGAAATCCCAGCTCCTGAAGGAAGCTACCCCCAGATAGATCCTACAAGAACCAAGAACAGCTATAACTTCTCTTTGAAATCTCAGTGCCCAGCATTGCCTATCTTCCTCTTTCCCCTCCCACTCCACCATATGGTCCTTTTTGATGTGAGGAAGCTTCTGTCCAAGTCGGTAAACTTTCATAGATCATCCAGAGGAATCAAAGAATTATTATTGCCTGAGGCTGTCAAAATGCACCTCAACATCAAAACAACACCTGAAATATGTGTAGCTTTTTTTACAGTTTACAGTGCCTTTACATCTCACTCCAGGCAACATTTGGATGGTAAGGCAACTTATCCAGAGGCACACAGCTTTTAAAAATGACACAACCTGCCCTGGCTGCTGTGGCTCAGTGGATTGAGCACCAGCCTGCAACGAAAGCATCATTGGTTCAAATCCTGGTCAGGGCACATGCCTGGGTTGCAAACCAGGTCTCCTGGGGGAGGGGGAGGGGGAGCATGTAAGAGACAACTAATCAATGTTTCTCTTCCTCTCTCCCCCTCTCCCCCTCTCCCCCCCCTTTCTGAAAATAAATAAAATCTTTTTAAAAAAAGAAAAAGAACATCAGAACCTGGACTTCTGAGAAGTTACCTACTCTGCTTTATGATAATCAAAAGAAGGCATGGAGCCCTGATTGGTGTGGCTTGGTTGGTTGGGTGTTGCCCCATAAACCAAAAGTTCTTGGCGGGTTTGTTTCCCAGTCAGGGCATATGCCTGGGTTGTGGGTTCATAAAGTCCTGTTCAGGGTGTGTTACAAGAGGTAACCAATTGAGGTTCCTCTCACACCAATATTTCCCTCTTTCTCCCTCCCTTCCCTTCTCTCAAAAAAATAAAAATTTTTTAAGAAGAAACCTTTGCCTTGGAGCAAATTAAACCCATAACTAAGCTTAGACTTTTTTTTCCCCAAAAAATGAAATGAAAGTAGCAATTAAGTCTCCTTTCCTTGTGGTTATTATATAATTTATTTTGGGTGTCGCTCACTTGGTTGGGCTTGACCCCACAAAGCAGAAGGTCCTCATTAGATTCCCCATCAGGACACATGCCTGGGTTCAGTGCCCAGTTGGGACACATTTGAGAAGCAACCAATCGGTGTTTCTCCCTCTCTCCCTCTCTTCCCCTCTGTCTAAGATAATAATAATTTAAGTTCTTTATTACTTTCAGTTATTTACCCTTGGGGAGAAGCTAATTTTCTGGTGTACACACCAGAATAAGGCACTGGAGTCATGATAAGCATTGTGCTTCAGAGGAACTAACCAAATTCTAAAGTAATGACTCGGAAACCTAGAGCCATTTCAGTGACAAAACATACAAAACACATCTACCATATTGGTTGCTTATGACTAGGTAAAAGCTCCCAAACTTAGTGGCTTAAAACAGTAATAAATATTTTGCATTATCTCAGTTTCTGTAGGTCAAGAATTTGCAAGTGATTTACTTGTGTGGTTCTGGCTCAAGGGCTTCCATAAAGTTGCAGTCATTTGAAACTATGCACTGGACGATCCACTTACAAAATGGCTTATTCACATGGCTGGCAAGCTGGCAATGACTGTCAGCAGGAGTTCTCAGCTCCCACAACCTGGGCCTCTCCAAAGGGTTGCTTCAGTGTCCTCTTGACATGGGAAATAGCTTCTTTCAGAGCCAGTAATAGAAGACTAGACAGAAGTCACAATATTCCTTAAGATCTAGACAAGGAAATCACACTTCATATGTTCTGCAATATCTTGTTATTACACAGGTCAGTCCTATTCAACATTGGTTGGTACTACCCAAGGACTTGAATACCAGGAGGGAGAGAATCACTGGAGGCCATCTTGGAGCCTACTGTCTCTACTCTGGACCCCAGAGGATGGGGGATTTACATCTTTGTCTCACTACTTTGTAAAAGCCAGGGGACAGACCCTCTGAGCGTCCATTTTCTATAGCGAAACATCGCTGGGAAATAAAATTATTTTCTGAAGAGTGCCAGGCCGCAGAGGTTTATAGACCAAATTCTTTCTCCTTTCATTGGGTTCCATTGGAGCCAGGAAATTGAAGAGTATAGCTCAGGCCTCTTTCAAGCACAAGGTCTTTTTTCCAGTAATGGTGGAAATTTGGGGAAACTGCCTATTATCTCTCCCTGTGGACAAAGATATGAAGAACATGAAGTTATTAAGCCTCTAGACATTCTTCCAATAACTGGGCCCTGGCCCAGAGTCCACTTCTGAAGAGGAACAGAGATAGGCTGTACAGAGTTGTACACACAGAGTATAGCTAGCATGTGGCTTTCTGATAGCCTCTCCAGAGCTCGCAGGCAATGTAAAAGTACTATTGCGTGCTTTCACACACAAAAAAAAGCTCAATTTGTCTCAGGAGAATAAATAAAGAAAATTCAAGGTGATAATAACAGTAAGTTTAAAACAACTCAGAGTTTCCTAAACGTGGAAAAATCCTATTCCTTTCAAGCATTGAAAGAACTGATATCTTTTAGTTTTCAAGCTCAAGGCCTCTCTTACCTTTGACTAAATATAGCTGATTTGGATACTATTACTAGACAACTGCTAATAGTTTTGCACTTTAATGTTAGAAAAGCAACCTGTGCTCAAATGAGCTTGGAAAATATGAGGCAAAGTTTAGTGCAATTTCTTAAAGATTTTAATATGCTGAAGGGAATGACAAATCAAGAGGAGACAGGTATGCAGCTATCTTCCAAATGGAATTGAGAATGTGTTCCTCACACACACTTTGAGAAAATCACCTCTGGGTATAAAAATCACTTGTATCTCTGTTATGTTAATGGCAATGAAGGTATAATTCCTTCCAGCTGAAAGCTTGATAGCTACCATTTTGTTCCCAAGTAAACCTATTTGTAAAAGCATTTGGGGTGTTTGCTTGTTTTTTTCTGTTTCTAAATAATGCACTTTATTTTATTTTTTAAAAAATTTTATTGTATTTTTCCCATCACTAGTCCCCTTATATACCCTTCCCCACCCCACTGCATCTGTTTTCTGAAAACAAGTTTGTCCTCTTTTCCTTTAAATAATTCATCTTTCCTTAGTTCTCTTAATGGTACTGCCATTTCTGTTGCCCTAAGTAACTTGATTCTTCCCTTTCATTTGCCCATCTCTCCACTAGACTGTAATTAAACATCGGTTGGTTGCCTCCTGTATGTTCCCCAATGGAGGATTAAATCCGCAACCTAGCCATGTGCCCTGATCAGGAATCAAACCAATGAACTTTTGCTTTGCAGGGTGATGCCAACCAACTGAACCACACCAGCTCGGGCCTTAATGAATATTTTGGATTGAGTGTTTGAATAGAAGAAAAATCAAATTGACCCTGCCTGAAATATCTTGAATTTGAAATTAAAGTCTCCAATGAATGAGGCCTTAACCATAAACCCCAAAGGAATCTAATAATTTATATTTCAAAAAATTATAAATTTTTTAAAAACTCTTCAGCCCTGGCTGGTGTGGTTTGGTGGATTGAGTGCCAGCCTGAAAACCAAAAGGTTGCCGGTTCTATTCCCAGTCAGGGCACATGTCCAATGTATCTCGCACACATCTATGTTTCTCGCCCTCTCTTCCTCCCTCCCCTCTCTCTAAAAATAAATCATTTTTTAAAATCTCTTCAAAACACCTATCTGCAGAAGGTTAAGATATGCATAGTGATATAGTGACTCCCAGTCAAGGTGGCGGCATAGGTAAACATGGCTCACCTCCTCACGTAATCACATCAAAATTACAGCTAAACTATAGCCCCACACCAGCACCTTCCTTTCCCTGCCTTACACCATGGAGGTCACACACTCAAGTCCTCTTCAACACATGTTGCCTCCTATCTCCTGGCTGCCCTTGGGGGCAATTCCTCCCCCAGAGCCAAGGACATCAAGAAGATCCTGAACAGCATGGGCATCACGGTGGATATCAACTGGATCAACAAGGTCATCAGTGAGCTGAACAGAGAGAACATCGAAGGCATCATTGCCCAGGGTACTGGCAAGCTGGCCAGCGTCCAGGCTGGTATGGCTGTAGCTGTCTCTGCCATCCCAGGGTCTCCAGCTCCTGCTGCTGGTTCTGCCCTAGCAGCAGCAGAGGAGAATGACGAGAAGAAGGAGTCAGAGGAGTCACATGACAACATGGGCTTTGGCTTGTTTGATTAGAGTCTTGTTCCCCTACAAATAAAATCCTTTTTATATATATTAAAAAAAAGTTACAACTAAACTATAGAACAGCCATCACTCAGAACCATCAGAAATTGAGTGGAATGGAATTAAGGAAATCACAATGATCCAGACTGGTAGGAGGGGCAGAGACATGGAAGAGGCTGCTCCCACATCCATGTGCAGTGGATGAAAATTCGAGAGGGGTATATTAGAAGCAAGGAGTCCCAGCCCCACAACAAGCCCCCCAGTGCAGGGTTCCAGTGCCAGCAAGATAAGTCCCCAAAACTTCTGGCTGCAAAAACCAGCAGGGAATGAGTCAATGGAAGGAACTGCTGCAGTCCAAGCAGTTCTCTTTGAAGAACCCACACATGAACTTACTCAGACTCAATCCCCCTGAGCTCCAGCACCAGGGTAGCAGCTTGAAAGGCACCAGTGGTATACTGAAGTGTCTGGTATCAAAGCAAGAAGATGGGATACAGCTTTCTCCCAGACAGAAAAGCAGGCAGAGGTATTGTCCCTTTTCTGAGCTCTTGCCCCACAGAGCCACAAAGCTGGCAGGGGGTGTTCCATATTGTAGACTCCATCAACCTGGCTAACACTGTTTGCCCTGCCCTAGAGAACCCCTGAGACTCTGTACCCCCTAACTTACAGGCCCACCTCAGTGACTTTTCCATAAATATGGCTGGTCTTGGCTCATGCTTCACAAATTCCTAAATCCTCTCAAACAAGCAACAGTCACCCTCAGTGAGCCCTCAGCCCCCATACCTCTTGTTAAGTGGCCCCAGACCTGGCACTAGCAGCAGCCAGCCCAGATTCACAGCTTGGCTTCACCTGGGAATCTCCAAGCCCAGCACAAGTAGCAGCCATCTCAAATTGCTTTATAGTTCATGCAGAGTGGCCCTGGGCAGAATACAGGTGGGAGCTGACCTTGGCCTTAACCACCCAGGAAAACCCAGAGCCTGCACACCCAGTGGACAGTTATAGACCACATCGGAGCACCACCACCCTGCCCCTACACAGCTGCTCCTCCATGGAGGCAGTTGATGGTCAGTGGTCACAGCCAGTCCTTGCAGTTGACAGGCCTGGATAAATCCCTTCTGTTGACCTTCCAACAGCAATCAAGTCTCACCTATAAGAAGAGGGTGTACTCAGCCCACACAAAGGGCGCACCTTGAGTACCCAACTTGGGTGGTAGGGAAGGCTGTGCCACTGGACTCTACAGGACACCTACTACATTAGGCCACGCTACCAAGACACAGAGTCATAGCAGCTCTACCTAATACATAGAAACAAACACAGGGAGGCTGTCAAAACAAGGAGACAAAAATACGGCCCAAATAAAAGCACAGATCAAAACTCCAGAAAAAGAACTAAACAAAATAGAGATAAGCAATTTACCAGATGCAGAGTTCAAAACACTGGTTATAAGGATGCTCAAGGAACTTGGGACCTCCGCAACATAAAAAAAGATCCAGTCAGAAACGAAGGATACATTAATTGAAATAAAGAACAATGTACAGGGAAACAACAGTAGAGTGGATGAAGCCGAGAATCAAATCAATGATTTTGAACATAAGGAAGCAAAAACAACCACACACAACATCAAAAAGAAAAAAAACTCTAAAAAAAGGAAGGTAGTATAAGTAGCCTCTGGGACAACTTCAAGAGTTCTGACATTCACATCATAGGGGTGCCAGAGAGAGAAGAGAAAGAGCAAGAAATTGGAAATCTATTTGAAAAAATAATGAAAGAAAACTTCCTTAATTTGGCGAAGGACATAGACATGCAAAGTCCAGGAAACACAGAGTGTCCCAGAAAAGATGGATGCAAAGTTCCCGTAAGACTGTAAGCTGATTTCTCAAAAGAAGCTTCGCAGGCTAGAGGGGATTGGCAAGAAATATTCAAAGTCATGAAAAGCAGGGACCTACAGCCAAAATTGCTCTACCCAGCAAAGCTATCATTTAGAATCTAAGGGCAGATAAAGAGCTTCCCAGACAAGAAAAAACTAAAGGAGTTCATCATCACCAAACCATTATTATACGAAATGTTAAAGGGACTTATTTAAGAAAGAGAAGAATATCAAAATATGAACAATAAAATGGCAATAAATACATATCTATCAACAATTGAATCTAAAAACCAAACTAAGCAAACAAGAACAGAGACAGAATCATGGATACAGAGAACATTGCCATATGGGAGGCGGGTGTGGGGGAATGGGTGAAGAGGTAAGGGGATTAAAAAGTACAAATCAGGTTAGCCAGGTTGATGTGGCACCAGCTTGCCAGTTCTGGGAAAGAGGGTTTAACAAAGGTGCAATGGCCTCTGCTCGCCTTAATGCCAGACACTTCGGTTTCTCCCAGTATGCCACTGGTGCCTTTCAGGATGCTACCCCAGTGCTGGAGCTCAGAGGAAGTGAGCCTGAGTAGGGTTCCCCTCATATAAAGAGAAACAATCCTCTTCTTTCATCTCTTGGAAACCAAAAGTGAACATTTCACATAAAATCACCAGTAAATTTTGCAAGTCAGCCAGAGAAGAAGGCACATTTGATGCCTGGGCTTATGCCTACTCTACTGCAGGCCCTGCCTCTGTGCTACTGATCTAGGGAAGCACAAAGAAAAGAAGGGTGGTCACAATCACAGTTGGAAACCTTAAGTTGACAATTTATAGAATGCTCCACCCAAAAATAGAATATACCTTATCTTCAAGGCATATAGAACATTCACTAATAAGGAAATACAAAATAATTGAAATCATATTAAGTATATTCTCTAATCACGTTGGAATTAAAATCAGCAAGGGAGAAATAACAAGAAAATCCCCAAATATTTGGAAATTAATTATACACTTTTAAATAACTATGGCTCAAATAAGAAATCAATTAGAGGAGTTCCAGCCAAGATGGAGGCAAAGATAAATATGCTTTGCTTCCTTGCACAACCAGAAGAAGGATAACAACCAATTTGAAAGCAAAAAAGAACCAGAACTGCCAGAAAATCAAACTATATGTCAGTTCAACACCCAAGGAGTTCAAAAAGAAACATTCATACAAACTCGTAGGACAGGCAGAGACAGGAGGCTGGGGCAAAGAGGGTGAGCAACAAAGCAGCCGCTGGAGAACCAGGGTCTCCCACATTCACATGTGGATAAACCAGGAGGAACAACTAGAAACAAGGCAAACGTAAAAAACCTGTGGGGGTTACAACAGCAGGAGAAACTCCCAGTCTCACAGGAGAGTCTGTTGGAGAGGTCCACGGGATCCTAGAATGTACACAAGCCTAGCAATCAGTGTCTGAAAGGGCACAGTCCACTTAAGAGAGAGAAGTGACTGAAATCAGGGTGAAAGCCAAGCAAGTGGCATTGTTCCCTCTCTGATCCCTCCCCCACGTATAGTGCAACAATGCAGCAAAGTGGGTTGCCCTGCTCTGGCAATTACCTAAGGTTCCGCCCCTTACAACATAACAGGTGCACAGAGACAAAGAAATGTGGCCCAAATGAAAGAACAGATCAAAACTCCAGAAAAAGAACTAAGTGACGAAGAGATAGATAACCTATCAGAAGCAGTGTTCAAAACACTGGTAATCAGAATGCTCAAAGAAATTATTGAGTGTGGTCTCAAAATAAAGGAAGAAATGAAGGCTATACAGAGTAACATAAAGAAAAATATTCAGGGAACCAACAGTGAAGAGAAGGAAACCATGACTTAAATCAATGATTTGGAACAAAAGGAAGAAATAAACATTCCACTGGAACAGAAAGAAGAAAGCAAAATTTGAAAAAATAAGGAGAGTCTGAGGAACCTCTGGGACAACTTTAAACATTCCAACATCCAAATCACAGGGGTGCCAGAAGGTGAAGAGAAAGAGCAAGAAATTGAAAATTTATTTGAAAAAATAATGAAGGAAAAATTCCCCAATCTGGCAAAGGAACTAGAGATGCAAGTCCAGGACACTCAGAGAGTCCCAAAGAGGTTGGATCCAAGAAGAAACACACCAAGGCACATCATAATTAAATTACAGAAGATTAAAGATAAGGAGAGAATTTTTTTATATTAACTTTTTTAAAAAAGATTTTATTTATTCATTTTTAGAGAGGGAAAAGGTGGGAGAAAGAGAGGGAGGAAAATATCAATGTGTGGTTGCCTCTCACACACCCCCTCCTGGGGACCTGGCTCGCAACCCAGGTGTGTGCCCTAGACTGGGAATTAAACCAGAGACCCTTAGGTTGTGGGCACAAAACAGGGGGAGGTTAAGAATTCTATAGGAAATGGAGAAGCCAAAGAACTTATATGTATGACCCATGGACATAAACTAAGGGGGGTGTGATGCTGGAGGCAGGTTACAAGGCAGAGGGGGAGAAAGGGGAGGAAAAAAATGGGACAACTGTAATAACATAATCAATAAAATATACTTAAAAAGATTTAAAAAGGAATTTAAAAATATTTTATTTAATAAAAATAAAAACATAATATATCAAAATTGGTGGGACATGGCCAAAACAATGCTTAGAGAAAATTGTACATTAAATACTTATTTTTAAAAAGTCTCAAAATAAAAAAGAAGTACAAATTAGTAATTACAGAATGTCCATGGGGATATAAAATACAGTATAGAAAATGGGCCCTGGCTGATGTGGCTCAATGGATTGAGTGCTGGCCTGCAAACCAAAGGGTTACCGGTTCCATTCCTAGTCAGTGCGCATGCCTGGGTTGCTGGCCAGGTCCCCAGTAGGGAGCACGTAAGAGACAACCACTCATTGATGTTTCTCTCCCTCTCTTTCTCCTCCCCTTCCCCTCTCTCTATAAATAAATAAATAAATAGATGAAAATGGAGTAGCCAAACAACCTATGCATGACCCACGGACATGAACAATGGTGTAAGGATTGCCCGAGGGAATGAGGGTTGCTGGGTGAAGGGGGGCAAAAGGAGAAAAATTGGGAAAACTGTAATAGCGTAATCAATAAAATATAATTTTTTAAAAAGGAATGCATCGTTACC